TTCTTGAATTCATAGATTTTCAGTAGTAATGGAAATTGCAGAAGGACTTCTTGAATTGTATCTCATCATGTAAACTTTAAGAACTACTGAACTGTTTCTGTCCTCGAAAAGTAAACACAATGTTGTCCTTCAAAAATCCATATAAAGATGTAGCCCGTTTGCCACTACGCACACTGACCCCTACGCAGGTTATCACAACGATAAGTTTGTTGAAAAAACTGAAATCCTTTGCATCGTAGGCAATATGTTTGGGTTACGATGTAAAAGCGCTGTTTCGACCAGATCACTAGCCGGCTCATCAGCTGTACAACATTGACGTATGGCTGGCAGTGTAGCACTTTTTACTTTGTTGCTATTTCATCTGGCTGTCGAAGCCAGAAGTCAAGATAGTCAGACTGAGTTTTGCGATACTGCTCCTGACGATGGTCTTCGATTTTGGTGCCTCCAGCTCCGGCAGATGGATAGAATGGCTCGTGTAAGTTGTGTGGGGCTTCATATTTGCTATTGTCCTGCCAGGAACTATTAACTCACTATTACTAACATAAGTGCACTTGAGTTACTGCAGCTAAGTTGTTCATAGAAGACAAAATTGAAGCGTTATGAGTTCGTTCAGCAACACAAGCTTTGCTCAGCACTAATTCAGAGTTGAACTAGACATGGAAGCGCACCTACGACAAAACCCTGCATTGTTCTCAACAATTTTGCAGACTATCCCCGTTATAGAAATTAACTAATTATAGAGACTGGATAATGGTTCTGTGATCCCTTCTTTAAAGAGGACTTTTAACACACCTGCTCAAACCATATACGAATGTTTTGATCTACGATGTGTTTGTGGATTTATGGGAGGTAAGATGTAAAAAAAACTTGTTTCTATAACTATTTGCACATATGTTTGCAGGAAATATGGGATCTGGCAGGTGTGTATTACGTAACGGAGCAGTTCTTGGTCAAGCTTTTCGAAGGGAATACCGTGTTCTCAGCGATGCTGAGCGAAATAGGTAAATGCTAATAATTAATTGGTTCTTGCCCTTACGAATTTATTATTGCATTTTCAAGATTTCACTCAGCTATGTGGGCAATAAAGAACTCAGGAGTGTACGATTACTTTGCACGGATTCATTCTCGTTTCGCAATCGCCACTGGAGCTCATGCGGGCCCCGCTTTTATGCCATGGCATAGAGAATATCTGAAAAGGTGCTTTACAATTCTAGCTCTTACATATTAATGTCCAATTAAGAATATTTACAGAGTAGAATTTGCTCTTCGAACAGTTGATGCATCTGTGGCCATACCGTACTGGGATTCCACCTTAGATAGTCGTTTACCCACTCCATCTCATTCTGTGATGTTTAGTAGCGAATTGATGGGTGGATCACGAGCTGGGGAAGTGAGAGATGGCGCATTCCGAGGTTGGATGCTTGAGAATGTAGGTTCCAAAAACCTACTCCACTCCTTTTTGATGCCGACATATGTTTCTTGCAGAGAACTCGAGTGATCAGACGTGCTGTTGGAGCTCAATCAGCGCCAATGAATGTGTCCACATTTTTCACTTACGTTAACTCTCCTAACATTCAGCAAATTCTTTCATCGCCTGCTGCTCAAAACGTGGGTCGCACCCTGCACTTTTCCATAAACGCACCAGAATCCATTTAACTCTACATGTTCATCAGATTATTCCAACTATAATTCAGGGATGTCCCATACCGCCCTCTTGGAGATCTCTTGAGCTTTCTCATGGCTCACCACATCTCTTTGTTGGCGGTTCGTCTCAGCACATTTGTACTAACTAATACTTTAAGTCATTCTTTCTTTTTGCAGAAGATATGGTGCTTACTGCGAGTTCCGCTAACGATCCAATTTTTTTCCTACATCACTCATTCGTCGATTTCATTTGGGAATTATGGCGACAAGGAGTTCAAGTATTACATAATCGAATCATTACATTTATTTATTATTCATGACAACAACCTTCTCAGCCCAGGCAGTTTCGAGAAAATGACTATCCAAGAGATAATATTCAATGTAGCAGCCGTGCTCATTTTGCATTTGCTCCTATGCTTCCTTTCACTCCTATGCTAAACATCGATGGCTTAAGCAATGAATACACAGGTTTTCTC